GATTCCAGATTGATTCCAGATGATTCAAGATGATCCAGATGATTCCTATGATTCAAGATGATTCCAGATGATTCCAGATGATTCAAGATGATTCAAGATGATTCCAGATGATTCCAGATGATTCAAGATGATTCCAGATGATTCAAGATGATTCAAGATGATTCCAGATGATTCAAGATGATTCCAGATGATTCAAGATGATTCCAGATGATTCCAGATGATTCAAGATGATTCAAGATGATTCAAGATGATTCCAGATGATTCCAGATGATTCAAGATGATTCAAGATGATTCCAGATGATTCAAGATGATTCCAGATGATTCCAGATGATTCAAGATGATTCAAGATGATTCCAGATGATTCAAGATGATTCCAGATGATTCCAGATGATTCAAGATGATTCAAGATGATTCCAGATGATTCAAGATGATTCCAGATGATTCCAGATGATTCAAGATGATTCCAGATGATTCAAGATGATTCCAGATGATTCCAGATGATTCAAGATGATTCAAGATGATTCCAGATGATTCAAGATGATTCCAGATGATTCAAGATGATTCCAGATGATTCCAGATGATTCAAGATGATTCAAGATGATTCCAGATGATTCAAGATGATTCCAGATGATTCCAGATGATTCAAGATGATTCCAGATGATTCAAGATGATTCCAGATGATTCCAGATGATTCAAGATGATTCAAGATGATTCCAGATGATTCAAGATGATTCCAGATGATTCCAGATGATTCAAGATGATTCAAGATGATTCCAGATGATTCAAGATGATTCCAGATGATTCCAGATGATTCAAGATGATTCCAGATGATTCAAGATGATTCCAGATGATTCCAGATGATTCAAGATGATTCCAGATGATTCAAGATGATTCCAGATGATTCAAGATGATTCCAGATGATTCCAGATGATTCTAGATGATTCCAGATGATTCAAGATGATTCCAGATGATTCCAGATGATTCCAGATGATTCAAGATGATTCCAGATGATTCCAGATGATTCAAGATGATTCAAGATGATTCCAGATGATTCCAGATGATTCAAGATGATTCCAGATGATTCCAGATGATTCAAGATGATTCAAGATGATTCCAGATGATTCCAGATGATTCCAGATGATTCAAGATGATTCCAGATGATTCCAGATGATTCAAGATGATTCAAGATGATTCCAGATGATTCAAGATGATTCCAGATGATTCCAGATGATTCAAGATGATTCCAGATGATTCAAGATGATTCCAGATGATTCCAGATGATTCAAGATGATTCCAGATGATTCAAGATGATTCCAGATGATTCAAGATGATTCCAGATGATTCCAGATGATTCTAGATGATTCCAGATGATTCAAGATGATTCCAGATGATTCCAGATGATTCCAGATGATTCAAGATGATTCCAGATGATTCCAGATGATTCAAGATGATTCAAGATGATTCCAGATGATTCCAGATGATTCAAGATGATTCCAGATGATTCCAGATGATTCAAGATGATTCAAGATGATTCCAGATGATTCCAGATGATTCCAGATGATTCAAGCATCACACATTGGAATTCCAGCAACTAGAAGTGAGGGATCCAACCATCAAACGTTGGGATTCAAACATCGCTGGTGGAATCCCAATGTTTGCCCAGCTGGTTCTGTCCAGTGGAATCATGGCAGATATGACCAGATCCACCATGTTTGGATACTTTGAAAAAGCCATGCTTTGAACTTTGAACACGAGAAAAATGATGAAAAATGTGGGGATGGGTCAAAACCCTGGTACCTAGTGAACCCCAAAATAGCTGGTAAATGGATGTTCATCCCACTAAAAATGTATCTATAGGTATTGACCCATACCCATGTGTAGAAAATGATGTGATTTACAATGCGGAAAGCCATTGGCTTGGCGTCGTGAACTGCTGGACACAGGGGGCAAACCTTGCTGCATGGGATGGGTTTACAGTTTACACCATTTTGGAAGAGTTGATACTGTACTGCAATTATTTCATAGCTGCTGGGAATTTGTTGTCTCCGAGGGTACCTATATAACATTTGTCATTTTGATGTGAGTAACGTTTTTTTTGTTTCGTGAGTAGAACCTCCACCAAGTGGCTTGCTTCGGACCTGCTGCTTTTAACGCAGGTTGGGTGTTGCTCAACAGTTGTGGTGGTGTGCTGGCGGAGCGAGCTTACAAAACTGGAGATTTGCCGTTCTTTGCCAAGTTCGTTTCTGATGCCAGGCGCATTGTATCTGTTGTTTTCCTTTTAGGCTTCTATCCCAAAAACCGTAGGTGTGTTTCACTGGTGATAAACTTAAGAGACGTCCTACGCAGCATGGATATTACAGACATCAAATTGAATCCACTACCACATGGGCAGGGCTAGTGATGTTTTGTTTGATTTTTTGTTCAACATCGTTCAACAGACATACAGTATATGTACGTATATATACACTGTATGTAAATGTTATTTATGTTATGTCAACACATGTTTTAATGCGAATTTGGGTAGGCTTTGGATGAGTAGTTTAGTAAGGTACCTTGTTTTTTTGGCCATACATGGAAAACACATTTATGACTAGCAAGCTATTTTTTGCAGGGTATCTAAGATTCACAATGGAATGTCCAAGAAGAAACCGCACGGTTACAAGAGGGATCAACCCCGCATGGTATGACATGGGCCAGGAGTAGCCTGCCAAATTGTCTGACCTGGCAATGACAAGTCACCAAATTCGGGCAGCTATAAAAAAACAGTCGGTTGCTGATTCATTGTCATTTTTAGCGGGTTCAACCCACAAGAATCTGTAGATGTATGGGGATGTGACAAATAATGGTTATACAGTTATACCACCCATATACTGGTGATGATCAAAATCCATGAGTTGTCCGAAGAAGCACGCATCAGTTAAAGGACAGTTGAAACCGGGTGGGTTTTCAAACGATTTTCTTGCAAAGTTCTGAGAATAGGCTGGTTGGCGGTGTTTTCAGGGGTTCAACCAGCAACCCGATGTGATGCCCCAGTTTCAATCCAAGGAAGATTTCAGCTATTTCCTGATTCACGCCATTCTTCTGACGCTCGGCAATGCCAGCCCCTCGGGGAAGGCCTGTTGTCCTGGCAATGGCACACACAGACACACGTTTTTTTCTGGCAAAATGTGGAGATCCCCTTGGCACCAAAGTTTCTTTTTGAGTCTTATGAAGCTTCGCTGTGTGGTTCTGAGATTGAGATGTCTTTGGTCATGATCTCACAACAAATCGCCGACTGCCGATGAGGACAGTAACAAATCGCAGGAGGTCCTTCTTTGTTATTCAGATAGAACAAGCTAAGCTTCAGTTGCTCGCTCCAGTCAGCAAAAGGGCTAGGCTTTGCTGACTGGATCGTCGCGCAGCCTCCTGTTTGTTGAGACCTGATTGGCAATGCTCAAATCCGAGCTGTAGTATTTATAGCATGTTTTAGCTGTTCATACAATTAAGGATGGCAATTTGCCATTGCCACAATTAGCAGGACACTTTCATATTTGAGAGTAAACATGATTGCCTGATATTGCCTGCAAACTTTCCCTTTGATCTATCCATGGTTTTGAATTGTCCTGATTGCTGTGGGGAAGCTTCACAAAACCTTCACAAAGTGATTGACTAAGGATTGTGATGGCCATTTTCGATCCTTCAGAGAACTTCTGCGATCGTGAACAACGACCTGGTGGCTTTTTTGATGGTTGGGATCGCCGTATCTCGGCACATTCTCGGCACCAAGGCACCATGGTCCACATGCACATCGTGAAAATCTACGGGTTTGTCAATGTTTGTCATCATTTTTCATCATTCAAATTGCATTTGTTTTTCACACTTGTATAGTTAATATATATGTTAATATAACTAATTCATGATTCATGCAATGTTTGGGGGGGTGTTTTCTCTGCGTTTCCTCGCATTCTAACGGGGAATTCTCCCTAAAACACACACACACATTTTTGGAGTGTTCCGGCTCCACGACTTTGGTTGATGATTTCCACCAGCTTCTTCCTAAAGAGGTCACTATCCACCGCCCACTGTATATCAAAAAATCGAGGTTACTTAGAAGAGGCTGGAGCACTTAGATATCAAAGGATGTCAAAAGGCAACTCCAAAATATTGTCTATTGTTGATTTGTTTTGTCTCTGTCATTTGGGATGACGATCATGATCATCATTACTACTATTTTTCAGGTTGAGACCGCCAACCAAATCTATGGAAAACAATGGAAAAAAAACAACAACGATAGATGGTACCCCCCATATATTAACGCCGGAGGTTGGAGAATACAAGGTGGTATAATCAGTTGGACTACCATGAACTCTGAATCAACATAATATTTATTGTATGTAGGTATATGTATACTGTCAGTGTATCATGACAATCATTCATACTGTATATCATGAGCATTTTCATGAATATGAGTGTTAAGATGTTCTGAATGCAGCATCATGGATCGGTACGATCCAAATCTATCAATTATGACGACTATGAAGATGTATTGAGTATCCGTCATGTTTATAGGGGTATGGGCCATGGGCCCATTGGTCAAAACCCTGGTACTCTGGTGAAGTCTGGTGAACATCGAAATGGCTGGGATTTCTGGATGTTCATTCCCCAATATCCATAGAAGTTCATAGGTTTTGACCCATCCCCATCCAAGAACTCGATCTACAAACCATCACTGCCATAAGCCGAGCATGTGGGAATTTCAGGATCCTAAAATGGAGGTACGTTAGTACCATATAAGGCCATATTTTGTGGGGATATTCCCGGAAACATAGGCCTGAAAAATAGGCCTTATATATGGAATCGGTACCTCCAATCAATCGGTTCCTGAGTCATGGCCATTGAACCATGGGGTTTATGGATCAGAGGGCCAGAAAATTTACGATCGAGGCACTTTGGCATTGGCGCTGATGCTCCTGCTGGATGCCACGGTGGGAAATTTGCTGCTGCAGGAATTTTCGGCCTTGACCAAGTGCATCACCAAGGCCTTTTGCGTGGCCCGGTATGCCATGACCTGGCTCGGGATGTCGTGATCAGGATGTTGGGAGATTTTGATGAGATACCATCTGGTTATGACATTCACAGTTTGCCATGGAAAATCAGCATGCTATTAAGTTCGGTAAACCTCTATTTCTATGGGCCATTTCCCATGGCTACATTAAATAGCCAGAGGGTATTTAAGACATTTAAGGTGTTAACTCAACACCTTGGCTGCACAAAAACGGCGGATTTTTTTGCCTTTTGAAGCAGCCAGAATCGGGATTGAAGCAGCCAGGACTTGGATGTTAACGAGCGAGTTGGGGATATGCCCAAACTGGCGGTCTGACGATGAAACGAATGTGGATTCAAACATCGGAAACTTCGGAGACCATGAAAAATGGGGAGTTGACCATGCCAAATCGGGAAATTTACCTATCTAAACAAATGGGGATCTGAATGATACTGCAGTAAACCATTTGATGATTATTCTTGATGAAATTCTGTTGCGAGATGAAACGGGCCGACAAAGCAGCATGATGGTAGTTTGCGCAGATGATCTTTGAGAAAATTGTGTGAAATTTGACTGGTGATTTTTGGGGAACATATTTGGTGCCAAGAGTGAGGACCTTAGAATCAAACATCATGGAATTTAAACTGACAGAATTTGGGAGGTGCATCTATTACTGGTAGGGGGAGACCAGTCTTCAGCTGTGATCAGCCTAGTCTCCCACATGCTCAGTATGCGGAGCAAAGTGGAGAGTTCCCTTCAAGACACTCCGTGCTGCAAAAGGGTTTAAGATGGTTGAAGTGCTCCTGAGCGAGACAGAAAACCGTATTGAATATATTGAGGATAATCATTCACAAGTGGCCGGGGGCCAGCAAAACCGTATCGCCGGCGGTGGATGGCACTGGTAGGGGGTAGGGGTCTTTCAATGAAGGAGCTCATTAGCAACCACAACGCGAAGCCAGTGATATATCCGTATACGGGATAGCCAAAGGATATGGAGACTTACAATCAAGGTTGCCCACCAGATACAGTTTGCAGGGTGCACTCGCAAGTAGGAGGAGAGTGGAGACTGTGTGGTTCATTTTTTCAGAAGGGCAAGGAGGTAGAAAGGATGGAACATCATTTCACTGATGGTCTCGAACAGAAGGTTCGAACCGTTGAACCATAATATGGTATACATAATCCGTACATTCCACTCCAGCATGCACAGACCAATAAGTACGTGTATATATATATATAATATTATGTAATATAATATGTATTATGTATATAATATATACACATTCACATACAAATCCACATGTTGTTTGGTCAGTCTGTAAATCAACATAACTATCATATACTATCGTATGTATCACGTGGTCCCACCTCTTGGAACTATCAATGCTCTCACTTGGTGCTGTTTTCTGTGACAAAATTTGTCTCAACATGAGGTCTCCCCATATGGTTGCTGTTCATACGTAGTTCAAAGGGCTTGAGAATTATACAGATGCACATGTACATTGTAGGTATGCATATATGGATATATATGGCATACACAATCATACACATACAAAATCATAGAAACCCTGTTTCTCTCCAAGCGACAGGTCCACCAGGTCCACCATTCAATCCCAGTCGCATAGGTCGCAATGGTTTACTTCGTTTCCTTGACCTACAGAAGCTCGGCAGTGGATGGTTACCCCAGTGAGACCACCTGACCACCTCAGCTGGTTGGAGGATTGTAATGGAAAGTTGTGATTGACAGACAAGCAAAAAAAAACACTGTTTTTTCTTTGGGTGTGTAGTTTTACATCGATTTTTTTTTTGGCCACCCTGGAAATTTCACGCTGAAGCCTTAAGCGGTGTTTGCATCTTTTTGTTGCTTTTATTCCATTATGGCGTATATGATATATATACATTAAATATATATATATATGCCCATGATATCTTCATACATAGTTGGTTATGCCACCATTGCATAGGATAAACAACTCATTATTGTTACACTTACAGGTGCAGTATGTGTATAAATATTGTATAATATAGCATCCCCATACCATGATTGCTGTGCAACATACTACCAGAATACCTCAATCGCCCTGATATAAGAATATATTATCCCAGTAAAACCTAACTCTAAATCCCTATTGTGGTTGGTTATATATATATTCCCCTTTTGAGACAGGTTGTTTTATCCCCTTGGAAATGCCAGATTCAACTATTACTCCTGTTTCGCTAATATCCCCATATCCTTCTAAACTGGTTGGACAAACTTGGCTCACACCTTCCACAGTCATGATCAGTACCCAACATTATTGTGCTGGTTGGTGGTTTCAAACATGAATTTTATTTTCCATTTCATATATGGGATGTCATCCTTCCCATAGACTTTCATATTTTTCAAGATGGTTTAAACCACCAACCAGTTATTTTTCATTTTTTGCTTCGTAAATCATCATCCCACCATATCCCCAAGATTTTCCCATCATTATTTGGGTTAGGAAAAATATTACCATACGGAGGTGTATTGATAGTTATACCATCCCCATTATAAATCATCAACAGAGGTGCCAGTGTGAAAAACATCGGTAAATTGCCCAATGGCACATGTCACCATCGTAGTCATTGGATGATTTAAGGATATTTAAGGAACATCTGAACCGGAAACCGTGGTTTTTACAATCAAACATAGTGATAATTTGGACACATATGGAAATCATCCGATGACTTTGGTTTTTAAGCTGGAAAACATGATGATTATCACCGGAAACCTTGAATTGTTCTTTCCCTATCCTCCGGTGTCATCAAACATGGCTTGCTGAAACATCCCACGGAAAAAGGTCAAAAACGGTGTCCATCGAAATGCCCATGGCTAGGTCGGGAATTCCTAGCGGTCCTAGCGGCCCACAATGTTTGTTGCTTAAATCCTCTATTCTTGATGGTTAAATTCACATTATGAACCGACATTTTCCTATGCATTTCCTGTTACATTCCCATTTTTGCTGGTTGGGGCGAAGTCACCATTATTGATGCTTAAATCCATCAAATCCCCTTTATTGACTCTTAAATCACATCTCCATTTTCCCCAAATTTCCATTGAAATGCCATTGATAATCCTCTTATCTCCCATTCAGTCTTTAAAGCTTAAAGTCACCATTAAATAATCCATTGTACAATTCCTCTATTTTAAAAGTTAAGTTCCCATTGTTGTTTCGATATGTTTCGATGCTATCACTACTTCATCACCACCGCTGGCACCGTTGGCATCCGTTGCTCGAGGTCGCGACGCTGTGTCTGCGTCCTCCGCTCTTCCATGGCTGGCATTGCTGGTGATCCAAGCCTCGCTGATGTATTCGACACTCTGAACGCGCCATGGAACTTCCAATCCCTGGGATGCCTGGTTTTTTTTAAACATGGCTATGGATCAATACCTGTACATACCATTTTTAGGGGGATGAACATCCATTTACCAGCTATTTTGATGATCATCAGGGGTACAAGGTTTTGACACACTGCCACATGATAAACATGTTTAACATGTTTAACAATCCTGGGTGATGGTGATTTACAGGAACCAATTATAGGATTTTTCACGAGCAACACAAATGGTCGTTTAACCATCAACCATAGAGGATTTTAGCAACCAAAAATGGTAGATCTGACCAATGTCAATGATGATTTTGTGAGATTCCCTGGTGTATAGGAATTGATAATGTATGTATATATATATGATATTTTATGATATTTTATGATATTTTATGATATTTTATGATAGTATGTACAGACCCCATAGCTTCCGTTCAAAGAGGATTTTCTGGAGGTCAAATGACCCATAGAGGGGTGAACCCAAACGAAAAGAGATGAGAAGGGTGATGCTCTTATTCTGGCTTCCAAGTATATATACATATACTATTATGTATTATACTACTATTATTATTGTTATTTGTATTATTATGTATTATTATTGTTATATGTGGTATCTTATATGTATTCTATGTACCATGTATCTATACTAGTATGCTTTATGCGCAATATTCCTCAATTCTTGGACCTTCCCAGAAAACATCACTGGCAGATTTGCGATCATGGCAAAGTTTTGGCGAACTGAAGCCAAAGGCTCATCCCAGCATATATATATAATTATATATATATGTAGGTTTCATTAAAATAGATATTTGGTTGGTGGTTTGGAACATGGCTTTTGTTTTTCCATATATTGGGAATAGTCATCCCAACTGACTTTCATATTTTTCAGAGGGGTTGAAACCACCAACCACATATGTACATAAGTGACATGAAGGCATAACTACTGGTATATGTGTTTGTCATGTCCCAAATAATGTGCCATGTACCGTGCAGAACCTATACCGTTCATCATGTGTCTTTTCAGTGTTTGAACATTTATTTCATTGTTTTTGAAGAGTGAACTTGGCACGACCTATTAGAGACCGCGCCAGCGGAATTTCCTCTTTGGCCCCGTGGCTTGGATGTTCTCTTGGCAAAGTGACAACTGATGGTGAATGTTTATGGTATAGAAAAGGATCTTGAACAAACACAGATGGTGATTGTGAACGTTTATGATTTGTAGTATAGAGATATACGGAGAAAAAAACAAAACGTATGATGTGTTTGGCGTTCGTATTGTTGCTTGGTGGGGATGTCCCAAGATTCATTCGAACAAGTCCTTGAGTGTTTGGCAGCTGCCTATAGACAACCTGGCACAATTTTCCTTTCGAAAAGCTTGCTGCCGCTGGGCTGGGGTGAAGCAGGTGACTCCCAAAGACTTCCGCTGGTGGTGTCAACTCTTTACTTAGATTCACTCCTGGAAATAGTGTAAATACAAATAAAATGCATATAATATAACATGTATACATAATATAATGTATATATATATATATATGTGTGTTTGGGAGTTGTTGGTTTTCAATTTTCTGGGATGCAGCCATAAGGGGCTCATGATCTGCGACTTGTCGCCAGGCATGGCCACTCCTGAGCGCGGCCCGAAGTGCGCCAGCCATGGCACTGGAAAATCCCCGTAAACTTCACCGGTTTTGGATGGCTAGATATATGGCTAGTGTCATGATGAAAAATGTAGTTTAGTATAGTTTAGTATTGTTTTATTTTAGTGTTGTGCTATAAATTAGATGGAGGTATAAATATGATTACATATATGTATATGTATGTATATATATATATATATATGATATATGTGTGTGCAAACCAGCTGAAAAGGATGTTTTGTCTTGCAGGGTATCCGAGATTGGCCATACCGTAGCTACGTCGTTGGCCCTGGGAGGTACCAAGGCCATTCGATCTGCATATGAACCCTTTGGAGGCCAGCCATCTGCCGATGTCTCAACAATTTATGAAAGAGGACCACCTCACTTGTACAAATCTA